TCCTTTGTTTAATGTTTTTTTACTGAGAATTGATTTAGGCTTTTCATGTGTCCATTGGAGTCAAGAAAACTATAGGTATGATTTTTTTTAAATAAAAAAAGTACTTTTTTGAATTTTATTTTTATGTGACATGGCTGCAAACTAGCTCACAATTAACGTGGTAATGGGAAACCCGCATTACTCGAGGAGTTGCCAGTCTATTGGGAATAAGGGTTTGCCCTCCGGTAACCTCACTCATCCGAAGTAAGTAACATAACGCCTTGGCTGTTTCAAGCTGGTGTTCTGTGAGGCCGTTGTATCACTCCGGTCGACCTAGCTCATTTTTTCTTTACAAAATATGGTGATAGTGACAGTTCTTTTCCATTCAAATCTACTATTTAGAATGAGGACCTATCTTCACTGGCAAACAACTGACAGACTACTATTCTACTTTGGACGTTTCAAAAGTATCTATTTATGGTTTTGTTGGAATTACTGATTTTGACTTTGACAATGATGCTAAGTTTTCATAAATTTACCCCAAAAATATATGTAGGTAAGCATATAAAAATATGTATAACCTTGATAGGTATCTATCTTATTTATTTATTTAGTAGAACATTAGCTTACAGTTTACGACCAAAGCGCTAATATCTATAGTATAGGTTTCTTACTTTGTGTACGAGTCACACTAATTCACACAAATCACATTAGTATTAGAAATAACAATTCCTAACCAAAATTCGACGTACATATACCTTTATAAGTTATAGACTACCATCTTGCGCAGTATAGAGAAAGTCGTTGAAGAGAAAACCTAAATAAATAAGAGTTCGGTAGATAGATAGTTATTTGTTTTTGGCACAATAAAACCATTCTTATTTCTTACTCAGTGGTTCTAGGTGCCAATTTTAGATGTCCATATATATGACTTTCGTCATGTTATTATTGAACCTGATTGGTGTAGCTTGGTTGCTCTAATGATCAACGAAGCAACGAGCGCAAGCGCAACCGATGAGCATGAAGTATTTGGAATTAGGTATAAATTATTTGATATTTTAATTTCAAATTTTCAATGGACTAATGGAAGCTGAAATTGCGCCTCTATGTATTGTAATAGTGCCTGTTTTGGTAATATTTCATCTTACTTTCTAACAACGTTATAAATACGTCTACGCCTTCGGCGTAGTACGACATGCATATGACGTAAGAGTCCCGTTGTGACTTGAAATTAGACGAGCTTTTGTTAGTTAATTAAAGTGGGTAGACCATTTTCAGTCAGTTGAGTATGTCTCGCGCTATTCAAACATTTTTTTTCTGCCTGCATGTTTGGTGCGGTGGCTGGGCAACTGGCTGCCGTGCAACGCGCGGGTTTGATTTCCACACGGGACAGCTCTTTGTGTGATCCACAAATTGTTCTTCCGGGTCTGGGTGTCATGTGCATGTGAAATTGCATGTTTGTAACCGCACCCACGACACAGGAGAAAGTCCTAATGTAAGGCAACGTTTTTTAAAATAAATAATAATAAATAAATTATCACACTTACATAATAAATACTAGAAAAATCTAATCACGTATCGATCTTTTAATTTTCTTTGTATGAAGATTCACAGACATTGATATAACACGCACAATGATTATAACAGTTACTAAGATATTAATAAAACGAAGTACAGATTACGTGTGACGTCACATACAAACTCAGCATTTTACAACCATATCGTTTCAAGTAATAATTACGTAATATGATCATAATTATAAGATATTAAGTCAGAATAAGGTACTTCATTACTTTGATTATGCAAAATAAGTTAGATGAGAAGGCGACTTTGTAAATCATTTTTACATTTTTAAGTAGTGCGGTAAACAAATTTGTTAGCTGATGGTCAGCAATCGGCACCGATACTTGAGGAAACCTGAAAATTTCAATTGCGTTACCAGCCTTTTAGGGTTAAGTATTTTAGGATCAAGAATCTGGTTTGGGATTCCAGAGCATCCTAATTCTGGTACATCTCGTACCCAAGTCACATGGCGGATATGACGTAAGCTTTGTTTTACGCTGGTTTTCTGTGAGGGCATGAAATAACTCCTATCGAGCTGAACCTATCATTTCGAACCATTAAAAGTTTAGTATGGATCGCTGTAGGCAGCATTATGAGGTTGGTCCTAATTTTGAATGTCCTAATAAGGTATATACAGTTATTATATAAATCTTATTACCGCTAAACTATTTCACGTTAAAACTACTAAACGAAACCGAATGAAGTTTGCCCCAGAGATAAGTTGTAGTCTGGCACAACACAGGGTAATTTTTAACCTGTTAATGTTAATTTCCTGCTGTCAAAGCCACTGATATATTTTAGTAAACCGTGTCGGCTTCCTGACCGTAGTAGGCATCGGTTTTTCAAATTGTTTCTAGTTGAAGAAAATCATATAGACTAAAAGCACTTCTAAATGCCTTTTAATAGATTTTCTCTGTCTGGTCCGTTTATTAAATCAACGAATGATAAACTTACATACTTATGAATGTTTCATTCTTACACTCAGGTGAAGGGGATGTTTAAATGTTAGACATCCAGTTGACTTTGACATTTCCTTAGGTATTTCAGAGATTGCACTAGCGCATTCTTAGATTACAGAACAGTACGTCCAGTACGTCTAGTTTATTTGTAGCAATTTTATACTCACTGACGAAAATTTGACAACATCTTATCTTAGTTTTTTTACCCCTTTTTTGTATCTATTCAGCCCTCAAATTATGTTTGCCCTGTTTTAGGGTAAGTGACGTAGACGGTTACACATTTTAAGCATTTCACACTTTTTCTTTAACCGTGACTTTGGGTACTGTCACCGACTGCCACTTACAAAACTGTTTGTAAGCGAGAAAGTTTTCAAAATGCAATAAGCAGAAAGAAAAGAAAAGTCATCACAAACTTCCAGATGAATGTACAGGTCAGCTGACAGTTACACTGCAAATATTATTAACCGCTGCGTCACTGTAGTGAGTGTACTCTTTCAAATCTTCATTGAATTTAGGGACAAAAACTCGCGATAATCAAAAAATCTGAATCAGTTACGGGCCTAAAAAGTTTACACGTCACCTAGTCACCCAGTTGCAATGATCGACTATATTCACTAACCACAGTTTGCGGTCATCCACTCTAGCACGCTTGCATCAGTGTTTTGTTTTGCAACGATGATATTTAGCTGATGATATCTAGGCATCGTTAGCATTTGTTTTTTGTTACACTATGAACACAATAGACATGTTCTGACATGGTTTACAAGAAGCGCTTGGCGTATGTCTTCTATAGATGGTATAGTTCGTTTGTTCTTTTTTTCTCTTACATCATCATCAGCCAGAATAAGTTCACAGCTTTACTGAGCAAAAGAAACCCAATTTAGAGAACTTTCTGTACTCCTTTTCCGTGATAGACGTTTAGGGCGTTTTATAACATCGGGTAACAAAGTAGCTGTTGTTTCAAATGCATGCTATGAGTACCTTGGCACTGACACCCACAACGCAAAAAGAGTTACGCACTTAAATAGAATCTACTGAATAACAAAAGACATCCAATAAAACCCTAGAACAACGAAATTGCTCATATAGAAACTCGTTTACAATTTCTTTGAAACGGCGATGGTTAACATATCCATACATACATAGTAGCCGCTAATTTCGAAACCAAACTCAATAGTGCTTTCCATACCCTGACCCAACGTCATAATTGCGCCTACTTAACCCACGAGGTAGCTGACAGTACAATCATTATACAACCGCGATTGTTCGTTTCCCTTAGATAATATACTCAGAACTATGAAATACGGCTTGTTAATGGTGTATTACAAACCAGTTGGAATGTCACAAGCTTGTGGCCAGACGATTGAGAAATAATATAAACTAAAGCAACAGGTTGGTTGTTTTAATAAGGAGCGCAATGTTCTATGTATGCAAAAAGGTTCTAAGAGTATTTGAAATTAATTTACAAAAAGAAAATTCATATCTATTATTTAATTTTCATGAAACCTTACAGTAAGAATTATGTTTGATTTTTATTCTCGCTGCTTATTGAAAAGAGGGTGGATATTAAGATCAGTGATTCAGGCTTCATTTGTTGAAAACTAGTGACACGCCCCGGCTCAAAACGGGTACCTATTATACTGATACTAAATTTCACCACTATTTATTGTAAAGTAATTTAAATAAAAACCTTCCTCTTTGACTGCTCCATCAATTAAAAACTGCATCAAAATCCGTTGCGTAGTTTTACAGATTTAAGCGTACATAGGGATAAACAGACAGAGAAAGCCACTTTGTTATATACTATGTCGTGATAACGACTTAATCACGTGAATCAGAAAAGCTTTAATACTTTAATGCCACAACGGGACTGTTATTTTCTTTAATAAGTGATAGCGTAAGTTTCAAAAGGTTTAACACACTTGGTCAACACTCCACTGTAATATGATACCTGCTAATACCGGTATACCGGCGGAACACAACTAGTTCAGTAACTTACTTAACTAAGCAACCGGCTTTAATTAATGTTATGTATACTTATTTAATGTTACGCACTAAAATGTTGATGGTTATGACTGTTCACGCTCGAGGAGAGAAGACCTCGAAAATATTTTGAATTTACATTATTTTTGTATAATTTAATTTAATAGGTATGTTTGTGTATTTGGTTTTTTGAGGTTCCGTTATTATGACTTGTAACCTACGTGCTGTATCTTGGGAGTCTTGGGACTGTCTTTAGAGTAATATTTATTAAGTATTCAACAATCATTGTGTATAATTGCAAAAAATATGGTAATACATAATCTAGATCCCGACTGAACTGTCTTAAAATAAAAAAATACCGTTTCACATTTAAATGATAAAATGAAATGTTTTTTAAATAATAATTACGTCGTTAGGTTTATTTTTCATTCATTCGAGATTTCTACTGTCAATTACATCTTAGGGAATAATAATATTTAATAATTGTGCTTATAAAAGTATTTTCCTTATTTCCAGGATGGCCGAGATAATTTTCCAGCGACGAAAAATCCCAACAGTAGTATCAGACCCGAACCCTCTGATCATTCTTCTGATACTCTCCCTACTACAGTCATGTTGGGCACAGGTGATAAACAGGGCACCACACTTCGTGCCTCAGATCGGAGACATGTCACAATTCAGCCTTTCTGAAGACACACCTGTTGGAACACCGGTTTACCATTTAAAAGGTAAAGTTGGATTTTCTCTTCTACTAACTTGTAAGACTGGTCTCGTATGAAGTGCCAGTCATATTTAGCTCTCAATAACCTATGTATCTAGGGTTGTATCTATGTTCTGCTTTATTTGTTTAATCATCATATTCCCAAATTATATACATATATAAAATATATTTAACAAGCGCGTTTGTAAATAATTAATAAGCGTGACATATGGTTACAATTTTTTATTAAAATTTCAGACTAATTAATTGCTCTTATTGAGAAATTTTATTTACCAAACATGGGTAAATCTGTTGCAGTACCTAAAAATAACTTTAAAATAACTATTGTATTTATAATTTCAGGGGTTGATCCAGAAAATGGTCCATTGCGGTACTCTATATCAGGACAGTACTTCTCAGTAGACTCGTTGACTGGCGTCGTAACTCTCGCTAAGACCCTGGACAGGGAAGAGCAGAGTGCTTTGGAGGTCATCATTAGCATAACTGGTATGCATTTTGAGAACTTAATATCCGCTAATTTTTTCAGTACGGTTGTGCAGATTTTGGCCTCGGTTGGAAAGTTCCCAGTCACTCCAATATCCACAATAGAGCAAACACAATTCTCACATTACCAATACTTTGTTAATTTGCTAATTGTTTCCGTCCGTTACGAAGCTATGGAACGGTATTTTATGGTTATTGCTGTTACAATGTAAACCGTTAACATGAGTTTACTTTTTTTATTTTACAAATTTGATACAAATAATAATTATTATGTTACAGATGAAGGTATAGCCGACACTGAGCCCAATACGATTTCACTAAGGCGAGTGATACCAGTGAAGGACGTGAATGACAATCCTCCGATCTTTCATAACCGGCCATACATTGTAAACATCAGTGAAGCCACTACTGTCGGGACTGAGATTGAGGTAAAAATAAATAAAGTTAACTCTAAATGCCGTGTAGAATATAAAATTATAGGTTTTATCACGTAAAATGATATAAAATAATTCAACTGACAGTACAGTTACAGCAATAGACCACTGTAATGTGTCAGAGAGAAAAAGTAAAAAGTGTTTTTAACCCATGCCTCAAGAGAATGTATGAAGTTCAAAAAAATAAGAAGTAAAGTATGAATGAGAGTAGTTCCCAATTGAGTGTTACTTCAGCGTATAAAATTGTTACAGTAATGGTTGATATCTTACAGGTTAACCCAAAAATAACGGTAACAGATAGTGATGAAGGAGAAAATGCAAGAATAAGAGTAACTTGCTCTACTAAACACAAAGGAAGCGACTCTGAAGCATGTACCACGTTTAGAGTAGTAACTGATATGGTAGGTGAAAATTTACTCAAATAAAATAAAACGACACTAAAAAGTAATACATACAAAATTCATCTTTTTTAAATTTCTCCGAAGATCTTGCATTACTCTAATTTGTCTAAATTAGTAAATTCATTTTGCATTTACAGGTAACACCAAACGAATACCAAGTTCGTTTATTCCTAAATCAACCTTTAGACTTCGAGAGTAGATCAGCATACGTCATCAGTTTGGAAGCCACTGACTCTTCAGACAGGCCACTAAGAGCTCTCGCTAGTGTTTCAGTCGCTGTATGGGACGTACAAGATCAACCACCAATGTTCTTAAATGCACCGTTTTCTGCCACTGTACCAGAAAACACTTTACCAGTAAGAGAAAATTTAAACCGTACGCGTATCGAACTGCCGGGGTTGCGGGGTAAGCGCAATGAGGCACCGCGACCTCGGCCCAGAGCAGGAGAAGGAACAGGGGGGTTTTTAGTCAGTAAGAGTCTGACACTCCCTCCCGCCCGGCCCTGGGCGCGAGAAGTCATTTGATGATTTTCCCCTCACAAAAAAAAACGCGTATCGAGGTAGCCGGTGTTGCGGGGTAAGCGCAATGTGGCACCGCGGCCTTGGCCTAAAGCAGGAGGAGAAAGGGCGGTTTACAGTTGGTAAGAGTCTGACAGTTTCTCTCGCCTTATCCTGGGCGGGAGAAGTCTTTTGATGATTTTTACCCTAAAAACCTGTATCGAACTGTTTCAAATATAAATAAATTATCTTTATAAATAAATAAAAATAAAAATAAAATAACTTTAATTCAGACCGTAGTCCATATTATGTTAGTACTCACACACCTTAAAAACTATGTTAGTGAAAAATAAAATACAGAAAGACCTTAATTCAAATATCTGCTGCGTACATTCGACACACCAGGTACATGAACGTGTACATGCATCCAGTGTGCCAAAATGGCGCAACTCGGCTTATCACTAATGACCCTCAGAATGCTGTTGCCGCTCCCACGCACTCTGCGCATCATGGACGCTACTCGCTTTCTTATGATGGCTTTAAAACCATCAATATGTGCGTCAGCAAACATTCCTGATGCACTGCAGTAACGTGGGAGCCCCAACAACATCCTGAAGGCATTGTTATACTGAACTTTGAGGGCGTTGTATGCCCGCTGCGTATACCGAACCCACAGGGTGCACGTGTACAAAGACTGGCAGAATGCCTTAAAAAGCGTTAATTTCACTTTTGGTGTACAACGTGCAAACCTGCGGGACAACATATTGCATCGGACAGCCAACGCCCTCCGCTCTCTTTCCATGTCATCGTCATCTTTCAAAGACTCAGTCACTATGTGCCCTAGGTACTTAAAGTTTAAAACCCTCTCAAGGGCCACACCGTTCATCGTAACTGGCGGTACGTGGGCTGGCTTTTTGTGTCTCACTTTGAAAACTAACAATTTGCTTTTCTGTACATTATACACAAGTCCGTGTTTTTCTGCATAAGCCTCACAGACCGCCAATAACCGCCTGAGTGCACCGACTGAGGGACTCAGCAGTACCATGTCGTCCGCATAACTAATACTATTGACAAAAAGACCGTCAATAGAACAGCCGACATGTGTACTGCCGAGCTCGGCAATCAGCTGATTTACGTACAGGCTGAAGAGCGCTGGCGAGGTCAACCCCCCCTGCCTCACCCCGCACTCCAACCTGTACTCCTCAGACAATTCGTTGGCCCATCTAACCTGATTCGTTTGATGACCGTACCAATACCGAAACATACCCGTTATGGCGCCAGGCACACCCGCTTCACGCATCTTATTCCACAACAAGTCATACCTAACAAGGTCAAATGCCCTGGAGAGGTCAAGAAAGGCCGCATAAACCGGGGTATTCCTCTCCGTGTAATACCCGACAGTATGTTTGAGGGACAACACAGCACATTCAGTTGATAGCTGTGGCCTAAAGCCGAACTGAGCATCATGTATTTTGAAGTGTTTCCTAAGTTGTTCCTCAAATACGCTGTCAAGTACTTTAGCCGCAATTGTCGCTAACGAGATCGGTCTGTAATTATTCTTGTCACTGACGTCACCAGTTTTATTTTTCGGTATTGGCACGACCACCGTCCTCATCAACTCTGCGGGCAGGTAGGAGTGGCGAATACAAAATGTAAAAAATAATGCAAGCAGTCGCGGGAGATGATGTCCGGCATGCACAAAATGTTCGACGCTAAGGCTGTCATGCCCCGGTGATTTTCCTCGCCTCATATTTTTAATTATTAAACATACTTGTTTAGCCGTAATACGAGCAGGCACCTCCGGCACACCAGCCTCAGCAACGACACCATTTACATCCGGTTTTGGAGGTGGTTGTAATCTAAAATGCTGCATGAACATTTTCGCGATCTCCCGCGGCGTACCTACCCCGTCGACGCTAACCGGAGTACCAGGCTTAGGATTTAATTTCTTGGTATGTTTCCAAAACCCACGGAAGTCTTTCTTTTCGTGTTTTGAAGCTAGTATATCCATTTTGATCTGGTCTTGTTTATTTTGACAAAACTTAAGTTTTTGTTTGAAAATCTTACGTGACTCAACCATTTCAACGTAACTATGTCCTGTATATGGTTTTCCATGCCAAACCCAGTTTGCAAACTTTTGCCTAGCGCTTCGGTGAGCGTCCTTCACATACTTATTCCACCCCAGGATGGGTCGCCCCTTTCCGCTATACCCCCTACAGTGACCATTATAACTGGACTCGGCAGCCTCGCGTAGCGATGAAATAATTTTGCTGTACAAATCATCTATTACTAACATATGTTCCTTATTATTACACATATTATCACAACAATGCCTTAATTCAGTAGGGAAGTCAATTTGTTTTAATTTAGAGTTACATTCCTTAGTATACAACTCGATCTGACATAAATTACGTTCACCCCATGACACTTTATTTATTTGACAACGATGAGACGCGGTTGACTTTGGAGTGGCTCTCATCAAATTACATTGTACCTCTAGCGGGAAGTGATCTGACCAGTATATATCATAATGTACCTGAACAGATGTTATAGTCTTCCATGCCGCCTCAGAAACCAAACAGTGGTCTAGCCACCGTCGGCTACCATGTACATCACTTATAAAGGTATAAGAATCAGTCCCCAATTTAATTAAATCAGCACAGAACCAGTTTTGTTGAGCAAAAGTTCAACATTTCTTTTCCAAAAAGTTCCCCTGGGTGCGCATTAAAATCTCCCATTATATATACATTTTCAGTATCACCACTTTCTACTATGGCCGCAATCTCACTTAAGCAGTCAACGAAATCTAACAAATTGTCGGGTGCATCGGTTGGCATGTATACGTTCACAATCAAACTAGACCGATCCGACATATGGACTTTAATAGCAACAAGACGATCACTACTACAAGGAATCACAGTAACTGAGTCAAATGTTGTATTCCGCCACAGCAAGGCCACGCCTCCGTACGGGCGTCCTTGTAACATTACACCTGTGTCTATCGCCGACTTACCAAAGAAACTAAAATCTTTGTTTACTTCGCCTAACAACGGTATTTCACTAGGTTGTAACCAAGTCTCTTGTAGGCCTATCACGTCAGCATTACAACTTAACATTTTAACACATTCAAATGACCTTTTAAAAGACTTACAGTTGAAACTAATTAATGTTGAGGGGTCCGTAATGTCCACATCCATTATTTTTGTACAGTTTTTATATCACTCGATTGATAATTAGCACTTGTATTCCACTTTTTATTAAAATTAACATAATATCTGCGAAAAGATATACCACTTGGCCACAAATCTTCATTCATAAAAATTGATAATTTATCTTTGGGAATCATGAATTTATACGCCTCGTAATCTTTACTTAACTTCATATTTATTTTTTCTAAACAAACGTCAGTCCCCGTCTTACTCTTAATGTATTCGGTTATATCTGTCGAGGCGCAGTCTTTGTTTACCTTATAAATGTAGAAAGGTATGTTTATATTAGCGGCCTTGAACTTGCATTCCGACGTAACACTTGCCGTCCCTTTTTTGCCAATGAATTTATTTCTGTTCCGCTTTCTTTGTACCAACGTCCATTCATTAATATTATCATTGATTGTTTGTGAGTTTACGTCTGACTTATTAGTGTTAGTGTTATGCTTGGCCTCAGCGTAGGTACTTTTCGAAATCACGAAATCGTCCTCTAGTCGTTTCGTACTTTGCACCACTAAATTATTTTCGCCGTGTACCTGCTTCTCCGATAGGGATTGCACGAACGAGACATTATTATGATGATGATGAGGTGGTGGTCTGTTTGAAATAGATTTATTTCTATGAAGAGAAGGTACCTGCATGTTCTTATTGATTGATTCCGTTATTTCAACATTTTCAACTGACTTTTCTGACGAGATATGTGGTAATCCAATAGGCCCACTTTCACAATCAAAACTTTCCATAAGACCTGCACCCCTGCGCCGATTATTCACAAAATGTTGCACCTCAGGAGATGAGACTTTCAACATGTCCTTCGTCACATAATTTTCTTTTATGACGGTTATATCCTGTTGTAACATAATTATGTCCTTTAGTAGCCTCGTAGCGTCTAGATGGTCGAAAGTAACCGGTGGTAGACGCTGAAGATCTCTTGCAACGAAGACTGGCAAGCACTCAGGGTCGGACTCCTTTATGATGCATAGGATATCCTCCATGTCACGCTTTTCTTTTCCACCACCCTTCCGATTAATGTTGCGGCCACTTGATTTCACGGATTCAAAAAGTAACTTTTTAGAACTTTACTTTATTCCTATATCATTATATTTTTTAAAACATTTGTTAACCAGTGTAAAAAATATATTTTCAGAATACCAGTATTATGGACATTATAGCTAAAGATGGTGATACAGCTAACCCTCGTCAAGTTTTGTTAACCCTCGAAGGTGATACTGAACAATACTTCAAGTTGCTACCCGACAGACCTTTGGGACGAGCTACACTGGTGGCATCAGACATTCCTATTGACAGAGAAAGTGATGTTGTAATGCAAAATGGTGGCGTCTACAGTTTCTTTGTCAAGGTATTCACGATTTTTTACACAATGAATGATGATGTTTGAGTAACTCTAAAACTTTTATGAACCTAATATTTTGTTATTTTCAGGCAACAGAATTGATAAATAATGAAGTGCCTTCAGACTTCACAGTGACTACTATAACTATTATCGTTACCGATGTCGACGATCATGTTCCAAAGTTCAATAAAGACGAGTTCGATATAGCAATACCCGAAAACATAGAGAATGGAAGTCCCATCCCTGGTTTATCGATATACGTTGAAGATCACGACATAGGTGTAAACAGTAAATATGATTTAAAATTGAGAGATGTCTGGAATTCTGAAGGAGTATTTTCGATAAGTACAGATCACGGCGAAGGAAGAACACCAATCAGCATTAAAGTTAAAGATTCCTCGAAGTTAGACTATGAAGTAGATGATGATGATAAACGGTTATTTAGTTTTGACATTGTTACATCTGCTAATGGAGTCGAATTATCGTCAGCACGGGTTAACATAAAACTTCTTGACATGAATGACAACACACCTATTTTCCAAGAATCTACTTATAAATTCAACGTTCCTGAAAATGCAACTATTGGAACCAAAATAGGCGATGTATTTGCTACAGACAGAGACTATGGGATATTTGGTGAGATCGAATACACTTTAACTGGGTTTGGGTCTAATATGTTTAAGACCGATAAAAATATGGGTGGAGTATATGTAAGACAGATACTAGACTATGAGAAACAAAAAAGCTACAGTCTAACACTGTTTGCTAAAGATGGAGGTGGAAAAGGATCGACAGCGAGTATTTTTATTGATGTGATGGATGTAAATGATAACGCTCCTCTATTTGAAGCTGCAGAATACAGTAGGACTATTAGAGATGGTGCTACTACCTTTGAACCACAATTTGTTATTCGGGTAAGTATAATTTTAGAAGCGTCAGGATATCAATAATCAAGTAGCATATGAAATTAATATTAATTATTTTCTTGTTTATCTTTAGGCAACCGATGCAGATGGTCCAACCCAAGGTGATGGCCAAATTAAATACTCATTGGAATCGGACAACAGTATAAGTCGCAAAGGCAACGTATTCACAATAGATGAAGAAACAGGAGAAATAAGTATTATCGAAAAAGTTGATAGTATGGATACTCCCCGAGGCCAGTATGAACTAGTCGTCAGGGCTACAGATTACGGTGAGTAACTTTGGGTTTTGATGATTTTAAAATTTAACAATATTGAACCTTGTTAATAATTTTTATTTACGAAAATTCAGGTATTCCACCACTCCACAATGAAACTCGGGTCTATATTCGCGTGGGCGTTCCAGGTAACCAACGACCAACTTTTAAGGGTAACTATCATCACTACAAATATACTGTCTCACAAAATAGCCCTGAGACCACAGAAGACTTTACATTTGATTTAAACCCAATGAACTATAAGGCAAACATAAGAGAAGACGCTAAGCCTGGACAAAATGTGACCATGGTCGTGGCTAATGATCCCGACGGTCTCGATGATTTACTCACGTATCACATTGTATCAGGGTCAAAAGACAATTTTGTAATAAATGAGAAGTAAGTAATACACAATACATACAGCTTGAATGAGTTTTATAACAAACTTTCTTAAATATAGCTTTGATTATTTTATATTTGTTCTAGAACTGGACTTATAACGGTATCTAACGATGCAAATTTAGACAGAGATATTAACCCGGAACGATACGAAATCATTGTATCAGCTGTTGATAGCGGAATGCCTATACCAGAAACAGCGACAACCACAGTTTTCGTGACAATACAAGATGTAAATGATAAACCACCAAAATTCAATGCATCTGAATCAACTACACATATTTCTGAAAAATCAAAAATAGATGATTTGGTCACAAAAATTACAGCTTATGATACGGATGTCAACGCTAAGTTGCAATATAGTATTGTGCAGCCAATTAAGGCCCTTTCTAAAGCTGGTGTTCCGCTTAAACCTAACTCGCCATATGATTACAAACATATTTTCCGGATTAATGAAAACACTGGAGAAATATTTGTAAATGGAACTTTGGATTACAGTATGGCATCAATAGTTATCTTGACAATCAAAGTTGTGGATGTTAATGCAGAAATCAACAAGGATAAACAATTTGCTGTTATAGAACATACAATTTATATACAGCCTTACGCTGATAAAAATCCACAATTTACAAATGCTGGTTGGACTAGTTCGAATCCAGTAATATACCACAAAATCAAAGAAGAACAGCCTATTGGAAGTACTGTTCTTGTTTTGACAGCAGAAGATCCAGTTTCTGGGCATGTAGTGTCCAGCTATAAGGTTATAAATGCAGAAACTGGCTTACTTCAAGTAGATCCTCTCAGTGGTCAAGTGGTTTTAACAAAACACTTAGATTATGAAGACTTAACGACCCCAAATTTGACAATAACAGTGAAAGCCGCAAGCAATGATGGTAGCAAGCATAGTATTGCTAAAATTATCATAGAAGTTATGAACATAAACGACAATCCACCTATTTTTGAAAAAGATGTAGGTATTATTACTTTTATTTTTATTAATTACAAAAAATATGTATTATACTACAAATTCTCATTTACGAAATTGTTTCTAGCTTTACAAAGTGAGTGTTTTAGAGTCTGTTAAATATCCAGAGCAGATTGTTTTGGTTAAAGCTCATGACGCAGATGCCGTATTAACTGAAGAAGATAAAGTGAAAGGTTATTCAGACATCAGATACACGTTGAGAGGCGAAAATTCTGACCTGTTTAAAATTGATAATGTTACTGGGTCGATACAGGTAATATAACTGTTTTTATACATATATGATTTGAATGTTCTCTATATTAAATAAATTAATATAATTTGCATGATATCATTGCAGGTAGCCGAAAATAAAACATTAGACAGAGAGCGACAATCAGTTCTTCGATTGGAAATTGAAGCAGCTGATACTCCGAACGGGGGAGCTGAAAAATTGAAGACTACTGCCACTATTCTCGTAGATGTTCTTGATGTTGATGATAACTCACCCACATTTGAGAAAAGTGTTTATACAGGTTAGACAATAAAGATAGTTAATCAACCCAAGAAGAGGCAATATTAAATTTTACAATTTATTGTTAGTTCATTTTTATTATTATTCACAGCCGTTGTGCCAGAAAATGTACCCATTGGTATAAGCGTCATAAACGTGACCGCAACAGACCCAGATGAAGGATTGGGTGGAGAAATCAAATACGACTTTCTAGATGAAGGGGAAGCTAATGGTAAATGAAATAATGTGGACTCAATTGACTAAATAAAGAAAGCAATAAAATTATATTTATTTTAATGATTATTCTGTTCCTTAGGTCTTTTCATAATTGACGCAGTAACAGGAGAAATCAAAACTCGTAAAGTGCTCACTGGCCGTGGTCGCACAGATCCTTATAGATTGTTAGTTGGTGCCACTGATGGTGGTGGACATTCTGGCGACACCTCATTGTCTTTATACATCGGTGACGTCAGTGCTAATGATGGTGTCCCAAGGTTCATTAGGCCGGCTGCTGGGGAAATATTAAGTGTTAGCGAGGTGAGTTAAAATAAAATCTTTCATATGCGAATATTTTATAACAAATTTAAATAATATGTCCTGATTCTTTTTTCACAGAACGCAACAATAGGATCTGCAGTTTATCAAGTCGTTGCAAGTGACCCGGACGACCCAACTCAGCCTTCAGGACAATTATTCTATTCTATACAACCAAGCAATCCTGATGCCAAGATATTTGCTATCGGTAAAGATCTTTCTATGAATTGTTCAGAATGTTTATGTTTTAAATATAATATGTAGTACATATGGACAATACGTTTCCAATTTCAGACCCTCACTCTGGTCAAATTACAACAAGGCAGTCGCTGGATAGGGAGAAAAAGGCCTCATATACGTTGGTACTACTAGTCACAGATAGAGGCCAACCACCCCAACAGAGTACCCGAATTGTTACTGTTATGGTCACTGACGTCGATGATCATAAACCACACTTTGGAAGGAACTCGGTAAATAAGCTAAAAATGAGTTTATTCTAGTCTAGTTATAAAGATTAGTGAAAATTAAAATGCTTTTGATACTGGTCAGCTTTTATCAGTTTGAAGTAAAACATTCCTCATTGATGAATTTAAAATTTGATGTAAAAGTCTGACATCTTTTTTTCTAGGATGATCCGCCAGTTTTAATGACGGTAAAAGAGGAAGTTCCCATTGGAACTGTAATTGGTCAACTTGAAGCTATTGATGAAGACATAGACGAGAACGCTGCCATCGACTACGCAATAACTGGTAACCAGCCAAATCAATACAAATAATATAACTTTTCTAATTTTTCAAAGCAGTGACACTTTCTCATAATATTTTTTTGGCTATGGAAAGCTAGTAAAAGTTTTTAAAATAATACTTAAATACAAACGAATAAATGCTTATTGTCTATTATATTTTTACTTTATCTACAGTGACCCATATTTTTATAATCTTTGCAGTTGGGAATGAATTTGGCTTACTAAAACTAGAAAGAACAAATGACAGTAAAGCTCTGATCATAGCAGCAGCAAGACTAGATAGAGAGACGGTGTCAAAGCAACTGATAACTGTAAAATGTTTCAAGTATGGTACACGACCGAGACTAACCAAATCGTATAATAGACTGGTAAGATACAAAATTTTTACTTTGCTGAGTTTTACAACAGCTCCTTTGTACTTATCAGACTGGTTTATCTTGTCTAGCTACAGCTGGGAATATGAATGGATGTACTGATGAATGACTGAACGTGATTTTAGTCAGTATGAATTTCTTTCACTTTCTTTCAACCCCACTTCCATCCAGGGCGAAAGTAACGATTGGATGGTTTTTGCACAAGAAAAAAAAACAGAATTAACATGATTATTTGAAATTAAAACTAATATATTTAAACTGAAGTATTTCTTAATTATTTACGATCTTTTTCAGGATCCCTCAGAAACGCAGGTGTTAATCAAAATCCTGGATATAGATGATCATCTTCCAGAATTTGAGAGTGCTAACATGACAGTGGGAGTCAGGCTGAATGTGCCTATAGATACTATGATAGCATCAGTCAAGGCTACTGACAAAGACCCTGATGCAAAGCCTATTAACTACAGTATTGTCAACATGACTTTTGTATCACCGATTAAGGGTAAATCCTTGGACAATATCACCGATGTAATTGTTCTGGACAATGTAACTGGAGATTTGAAGATTATGAAGAATTTGATACATTATGCCGATGGTATATTTAGGTATGTATTTTTTAAATCTTAAAAAGCAGGAATAGAATTCCATATGACCTTGAAATATGTAAGACAATATTCAATTCTTGTTTCAGGTTAATCGTACGTGCCAACAACACAAACGATACGGAAAGATTCAGCGATATTCTAATAGAGGTACTTAGTCAACTTTTGGAAATCTAAATAAACATGCAAATCGTATTTATTAAATGCAAAAAAGCATTATAAAAGGCGACTAATGAGCTATTGCCACTCAATTCCTAGTTCAAATAATCTGTAAATAAGTTTATTTGATTATAATTATCGTGAATTATAACGTTATAGTGCATGTGTAACTCCTTAAATATTATTTGCTTAAACTCTAGAATTAGTTTTTTTTGGTAAATGTTGATTCTGATTTCTTTTATACACTTATATTTTTGTATCCATAAATAATTTTCTTAAGTGTTATTTTAACATTAGACATAATATACATAAGATATATAACTACAGTATTCTGGTCCTTTAGTCTATTTTGTTTTTTAGGTGGTGGTAGTACGCGAACGCGACCTTCTCCGGCTAGTGATGCCTGGTGGAACAAGACAGAAGTACTCTGACCTACGCGACAGGATGTCAGCTGCCCTCGCACAGAAAGGACTTCGAATGCAGCTGCACGATGCCAATACAGCATTCTTTGCTCATCCAGGGTAAGGCATTGATGTTTGATGCGAATTAAACCACGAAGATGATAATTTTGCATGCAAAATATTGTTGTTTGCTCTTCGGGGATTAAAAGAAGTCATTTTATGATAATTATGAAAAAAAAAAACTAATTCGTAATACAAAAAAAAGTGTAAAGATCATGGACAAAATAAATGTTGATGTAGGTACAGGTTACCTATGTAAACATAAGAGGTTTAGAAAAACTAACTATACATACCTATGTATAAATGTTGACAATTCGCACTTACCTAATGTATCTTAGCTTTAAAATTTGTGCTTCAAGTACATATGTACTAAGGTACTAAGGGGTACTACAAGGTCAAAAATATTCAAGTGTATATACATATATTATGTTTGTATATGCTTAAGATAAAATAATACTAAGAAAACCACAATTTGCATTTAATTGTAATTTAATCTCAGTTCTCAGTTCTGGACTACAGGCCTTTATTTTCTATAACATATTAATGAATAGTAGGTAGTAGTAGTAGCCCACCCCAGCTTTGCCCGGGTTTGCTCCGATGTTTCTGTTAAATGTGTAAATTATAGCGTTTCGAAGATAAGCACGTTCAAACAAACTGCTAGCTTTATGTTATCAACAATATATATTTAAATGTTTAGGCATAAAATTACTTATAATTACATATATTCCATTCTTGACAATCTAAGCTGTTGCAAGATTTTGTACTTGAGCGAGATGGCTGACCCCGGGCTGACCTATACAAATGTTAACAGTAAAATATGCAAATTTTTGACAAGACACTGAAGCGACTAACTTTATGACATACGACGTAACTTCATTCCTCATTTTGTTTCACAAAAGGGTAGGCAGAGATACCAAAAATACTTACTATGTAAGACCACCCTAGAGAGTGAGATTATTGAGTAAAATTTAGAATTTTATAAAAACCTAAAAGAACTCGATAAATCTTGGTTCGGCCTTAGAAGAATATGTGTGAAAGAGCCAAGCTTTGATAGGAATGGATCAGCTCGATCGGAGTGATAGTACGACCTCAAACAGAATCCGCCTGAATCAACCCTAGCTTTGTGTTCCGCCGTGTGAGTAAGGTAACTGGAGGCACAGTCCCTAAATCTCCAAAACTCTAATCAGCACAAGGCCAGCAACGCACTCGTAACTGCTGTTGTTGGTGCGATAGCTTACCATCCGGTGGTCAGTGTGCTCATTTGCCGCCCTATATTTAAACGACCAATAAAACTCATTGTCTTGTTCACAGGCCATGTTTCCAATTCAGGAAAATGGATTCCGGTGAAGCTTTAACACCAAAAGCCATGAAGGCAACAATTCGTGCCCTCGGAACCGAGTTCCAAGAGATCCTTGAAAACTTCAATGTGCATAACATTACTAACTGTGGTGTATCACGAACGAAACATTCGCCGGCGCAACATGCATTGCTGGCTTTAGCTGGAGTACTGCCGTTAGCAGCATTCATAGCCACCCTTGTACTGTGCTGCATGCATTCTAGTGGTAAGTTTCTGATCATTTTCAAATGCATTGAAGAGTTATTTTAGCTGTTTGTCTCCTTACACTTTACTACTGATGATGTAAATATTATTGTTCCACTATCGATCTTATAAGTAAATGAATGACACATCATATAATATCTGTGGGTAGTTACCTATTCCGGGTGAGGTAAAGAGTCAGTTCATGCACTTGAACCAAAATGTTTATTCAAAATTATTTGACTAAACTTCAATTAAGTACCTTTGTGGAAAAACCAAAGAGCTATGCAAACTTACGTCAATGGTCTCAAATAAAAATAATGTTGAAAAACTGTATTCATTTCCTAAGAGACTTACCTAAACATGTTAGTACAACCTACACAAGCAGAATAGTTTGATGTCGGGAAGCTGTATGTTCTACCACGTCTTAAACATTTGTATCGAAATATAATAATGCCCAAAACTATACCGAGTATCTAATGTCACTGTCAAATAGTGGAGAGTGCTAGGTACGCCGGCAGAATATATAATAGCCACTTGCTACTCCTGCGAGACTCCCTGATTGCAAAATGGTCTTCCAGTATCCAGTACTTAACAACCACAATATGGATGATAAGCAATTTTTATTTTAATGTCCGTCTCTTAAACCGGCTCTCAAGATTATCCACTTGATTTTTCTTTGCGAGGATGTAGGCTTCTAAACTTAAAAACGTTTTATTTAAGTATTGTTTTGTTGTGGGACAACATTCAAATACGCACATATTTAGTTTTTGTTTAGATAGCTGACACATTAATAATATTTTTTTTAACTCTCATGCTTATCATAACACATGTAAGTATCATCAAGATCTCTGCCATCTGAGTTAGAACCGAGAGGTTTCCAATAAGTATTTACCTGATTTGTCTCTTACAGCCAAGAAGAGAGCTCGTGAAGCCCTCCTCATAACAAGAGAGCCACCCCCAGTAGCTGCCAGCAACATATCAGTACCAACTAGGCTATATGCAGAACCTCTATATACAACGTGACGACACAAAGAAAACTAAGCTGTAAAATTATTTAGCAAAAGGTTGGTTTCATCATTTTATACGAATATTTAATGAAAAAAAACAATAAATGTCTGAATTGTAGTTTATTCTTAGATAAATTCTTTTTGCTTAATACAAAACTACTTACTTACTTATATTATTAATTAATTAATTATTTATATATACCTTTATATATTACAACAGCTCAAGTTTTTTTTCTTTACAGATTTAAGTCAAGGACTCATGCTGAGATGCGACGGCACGCATAATATTTATGTTGTTCCCGGATCCCCGTATGAGAAGTAACACCCCACCAAGCTGATCTTTAATCAGTCCAAAAGATTCCTTGGTCTGTCCAAAACGAGGTGGTTCTAAAAGGATTTTACATAAGGGTCAATAAGTATAAAGATATAAGAGTCAGTTGTTTTGTGTCATATTTGTATGAAAAAAGGAAAATTTAAAGAATGAGTGAGATTATAGCTAAATATTTTTAGCTGACCTACAAAAATATTCATACACAAAATAATGCAAAGGGTAATTTTAAAACACTACCCATATTTAGAAGATCAATAAGGGTAGGTTTTCTTTTAAGCAAACTGAACTCTGACCATATAATATTACGTTACGTTTTTGCTTTTTGTAAATGTATAAAATATTAAAGTCATTACTTAAAATATAAAAATAATATAAACTATTATCGTCTGTAAGACTAAACATCCCTTATTTATGCTTCACATTAAGTTATAAATAAGATATATTTTGTAAATATATTATAACTTAAAAGTGATAACATTAAGTGACAAATAATATATTACTTTAATTTAGAGTTAATAGATAGTCATTGTAAAGCTTTGTACAAAATGCGAAATGTATTTAAATTTAGTTATTTGTTAAATTTATTTAACTTTGTGTTACTACATTACACATATATATAATGTGTATGTATGTTTCAAATGTATATTTAAGAGTCAAAAAACTTTTTGTCAAAAATCATAGAAACTACTGGACCGATTATAATAAAAATTTGTTATCATACGCAATTCATATATAAACTATTTTATGGTTGGAAAAAACAATATTTAAGAATGGCAGTTTTATGTTTCCGTAAAAACTGAAAATCACATGTTACATCCGACATCAAAAATAATACTTTTTTAAGTTTTTTATATACATTTATATAATGTTTATCAGTATGGTTTTATTAATAGTACTTATATTTGTATGAAAATCCGTATTGTGGAAACGTTCTTGACAGGCAGTTGGAGAGATCTTAATAAAAACTATTAAGAACTAGTTTTATGAAACTAAAGTACAGATTACTGTGGACAGTTTAAAAGTATTCATAAACATCTCAAATTCACTTGACACTTTGATTTTCGAGGGTAATTGGAATTCCTTTTCGATTTTTCATGTAAAAGTAGTAGATATTTTCAGAACAAGAAACACACAGAACTTTCGTCGGCTAACCAGGCAGTACTTATCCTACTATAATATTATAAATGTGAAGGTTAGTTAGAATGTATGGGCGTATGTTTGTTACTCTTTCACGCAAAGACGGCTGGACTGGATTTGGTTGAAATATGGTAAGTAGATAGGTGATGTCCTGGAATAACACATAGATTGCATTTTATTATAATACCGCCGACGTATCTTGGCGAGTAAAAGATCCATTGCGCAGACCAACTGCTAACTTCAGACTCGCCAAGATACGGCGGCCATACTGTAACATACTACGAGGGCGAAGCCGTGGGCTGACGCTAGTATATAATATGTATGGTTGCCTCTGCCCATGTAATTTTAATTCGCAACTATAAAATAACGAGTATAATCACATGTCAGAAGCTAGCGTCAATATATTTTTGTTAAAACAAACAACGACGGTTGACATACCGGACGGAACAAATTATGTAATGTAGAATTAAAATATTTACTGCCATTCGGAAAATATATTATGAATATTATTGCCAAGTTGGTCAAATGTTAATATTATGCCTAAGTCAGTACAAAATAATAATGATGTAACATATACTGAAACATTGACATATTTTATAGAGATTTTATTATTAATAATAATAAAGGAATTAAAATAATCGTGTCATGATAATAATAATAGTGTTATAGTAAATAAGAAATATTCTATTTATTTCGTGCGTTTTTCTCGCGTGACTGTTAGACGATTTTATACGATTAGTTTCAAGCCACACCAGGGACCTATAGTTGCGAAAACGCGCGAGGTAATATGACGTGACGAATGTGATACGCCTTTGGTTCATTGCTGGTCCTTGATAAGGTTTGAAAGCAGTCGAACAAACTCGTCGAATAAGGATACAATAAAACCTACATAATGAAATTAATTTAATATATTTAACAATGGTTATTTTGTAAATATTTTATTTAATCTAAGTAACGATAAGAAAATTACCTTCTGCTTGGAATTATGTTAGTACCTAAAGATGTTATTTTGGTATTACTAGACCAACATTCAAATATTTTGTATGATGAGTACAGAACTTGCATTTTATGTATAAAATTGTACGTATTTCTTAAATCCCATTAAACTAATGCTATTTTAACATTGAATTGAGATAAAAAATTAGAATGTACTAAGTAATTGTGTGTATTTGTAAAAAAATATGGACAATATTGTACCTAGAAAATAAATACTTCTGTAAATACCTAAATTCGTTTTGATTTTTATTATTTTCTATTCCGTAATAGTGAATTGAAACTCAAAAAAAAACACGAGGGATCGTATAGTATAAAAAAGAAATACATTCATCACCCTAAAAACGCTTAAATAACAATAATAAAAGTAAAAATTGCAATTTTCCCGCCTTGTCCTGAAAATACATATTTTACAAGTCGTTTCGCGACCGTGTCGTCGCGCATAAAGTACATTAACTAGTCGAACAACTTCAGTACAGTACAATATACACAATGTCCGTACGCAATATATCTAACAGTAGCGAAATCGGTAACTATCAGTGTAATTTCGGTCGGCATTGACGCTGCCACGATGTACGGCATTTTACTAATAATAGCATTAGTCATTATTATCGCACTCGTAGTCGGTATACACCAAAAGAACACAAACGCAGTATGCCTCTCCAGGAGAAGGTTAGAAGGAAAAACAATAATTGTCACGGGTGGAACAGCAGGAATGGGCCTTGAAATGGCCGTAGATTTCGCCAACCGCGGGGCCAGGGTCATCATAGCCTGTCCTTTTGAAGACGAAGGTAAAAATGCAAGAAACCTAATCATACAACAAACAGAAAATCAGAACATTGTATTCAAATTGTTGAACCTTGCATCCTTAAAATCTGTGCGACAATTCGCTGCAGATATCCTGAAAAACGAAGATCGGCTGGATGTTTTAATTAATAATGCAGGCGTCGGAGCGCCCAGAGATAAGCTGACTCAAGATGGACTGAACTTCATCATGCAAGTTAATTACTACGGGGCATTTTTATTGACACTTTTACTCCTCCCTCTGCTCATAAAGACAGGAAAACCAGGAGAACCAAGTAGGATACTATTAACAACGTCAGTGCTTCATAGAATTGGGCAAATGGACTTTAAAAATATGAATAAGACTGACTACTGGTACAAAATACAGATTTATGGTAACAGCAAACTGTGCCTCATACCGTTTGCTTCTGAACTATCCAAAAGGTTGGAAGGGACGCATGTCGTTGTGAATAATGTGGATCCCGGAGCAGTTGGAACGAGAATATTTGAGTCTGGAAGCAAACTATTAGGATTTTTCCTAAGAAATATAATTCTTAATTTATTTAAGACTCCATGGCAAGGAGCTCAAACAGCGCTGTACGCTGCTCTAGATAAGAAAGCTGGTGAAGTGAGTGGAGCGTACTTCCGCAACTGTGGCCTAACTAGAGCTGTGAACAGGGCGTACTGTGAAAAAACTGCGAAAATATTATGGGAAGAATCTGTGAGATTAGTGCAATTGACAAACGAAGAAGTGGAACAGTGTTTTAAGTCTTTATGAATTTGAGTTTATGTATATAATCATAGGAGTGAGCGCAACGTGATGAGATATTGTTAGTTTTGTAAATGGAATATTATGGGAGAGGACAGCAAAATGAGTGGACGGATCGACTGATGGTAAGCAATCAGCGCCACATATCAACAACCGATTTTAGGGTATTTGGGACTCACACACATTGTCGCAAAACTCTCCAACTTAGATGTAACCTAAGTTCAATTCGACCTCGACATTCGCCTATTTATGGTTTACCTAATGAAACAGTAAAAGTACTTAAGTGGCTTAATATTAATATGAGTAAACAATGAACATTAATATGCTATCCCGCTAAAATATTTTATAGAAATAAATTTGATTGGTAAATGTGCACAATTTATTTTTGTGAGATCTAAGGTAAGAACCCTTCCAATAAGCCTAGAATGACTAAAAGGGTAAGTAAGAATTATACTTACTTATTTGTACAAAAAAAAGAAACTCTACGAACCAAAATTAAACATAATATTAATAAAAATATTTTAAATAGTGTTCCACGTCATTCCTATGATGAGTTCGGAAACAAGCTAACGAATTCGGGAAAAAATATTACCTGATCTAAAAACGTAAATTTTCAATAAAGAAATGTTGAATATTAATTATAGTTTCCAAATAAATTCATAGAAATAATCAGTCATCATCAGTACATAGTATAAAACAAAGTCACTTTCTTTGTCCCTATATTCATATGTAACTATGCTTAAATCTTTAAAGCTAAACAACGATTAGTGATAACTATGCGATTTTTTAAAACGATGCAATGATTACATTACAATTATTTTCTTGAGTGGTATGTGATATTAATGGTAGATGATTACATTATTCGTTAAGTAGTTCCCTTGAAAAGCCGGCGAAGTTGCGCGAAACAGCTAGTGTATAATAATTTAGTATCAGCATTGCATCGGTGCAAAGCCGGGGCGAGTCACATTGACATTTTATTATTACAACAATAAAACATGAAAATAAAATAATAAAATTAAACTAACACAATAATATTAAAACGTGACTGTTTGATATTTATCCTCAACTCGGCCATAGGGTGCTATAATTGAAAGCAATTTTAAATGTCATTATTATAATTTGTTTAGTTTTATCAGTCTCTTAGTTCAGAAGCTACGGAAAGCCCAATCCCTCCACTCCCCGAATCCGTATATTTCCAAATTAGGGATTTGTAAATTTTGAGGAAGGCTTTGTAATCAAAAGTTCGTAGCTCCTCTGTTTTCTTTCTCTTTTGTCGTCCTATCACATAACAAAAGCAAAACTCTACTCACCTAGCTTCAACTGCATATTAGTTTTTATGGTTCGACGAACGAAACGAGAATGAACAAGATTTTTGTCAGTTGGCTACGGAACCTTAAAAATCAAGAGCTAATTAAACAAAAACTACGATTATTACCATTTGACTAAATTTATTTCATTAACAATTAACTGTGATTTTAAAAATAAAACTAAAAATAAAATCACCATATTATCACTACAATTTATAACGTTATTTTTTTATTAAGTGTGGGAGAGCCATGCTTTGGCACGAATGGGCCGGCTCGACCGGAGTGATACCACGGCTGCTTAGAAAAGTAGCGTGAAGCAACACTTAAACTGTGTTTCGCCGTGTACTTACCATCAGGTAATCCAACAGCTCGTTTGCCGCCATACCTACTTCTCTTTTGTCTAATTATGTCACATTTAATTTTTCATTGTCTAGACATAATTACATAAACATACAAATCGAATTCTTACGATGACTATTAGGTACACTAAAATTACTTACTCTGAGTCATCATCATTTCGCTGACAAAAAAAAAATGTGTACAAAAATTGTACTGCTATTCTTTATTTTACTTTTCAGCAGTATTTAAATGTTTTTGTTTTTTTTGATTAATAAGTTTATTTACTACTTCATACAAATTAGTCTTTGATTTATCTTTAATAAAATAAACTTATTGTAAAAGCCTTTTTCAGTCGCAGATAAATTACAAAATTACATAGGTATGCACATATCTTTATATATAGGTATGTGTATATTATAAAAATTTCGTGTCACGAGTTTGTCCGCGATGGACTCTTAAACTACTACCGAAACCGTTTTTTGCATTCCGTGTGCATTTTGATCCAACTTGAAAGATAGAATAGCTTACATCTCAATTTATAGTCACAATATTATTTTGACAAGAACCTAAGCCACAGCAACGTCTGGCTGGGTCTGCTAGTACTACATATTATGTAGCTGCATGTAAGCGCTGCGCCATCCTTATTTAAACTGATGACGTCTTAAGTACTGTTTTTGTTATGATTACATTGTCGGTAAAAACAAGACAAAGTATCATTAACTTCAAGACCCTGCTATTAAAGCGGATTTTTTCCAAAAAAATACAAATCTTTGGACCGACCCGACCGAGACCTCTTCCTCGGTAGTTTTGCTTGACCAGCTTGATTGTTTGTTATGTTATGGAATAAATATTTTGGCTTGTTTCACGCCGGTTTTTGTGAGGCAGTGGTATGAGTACGGACGAGCATCCGGTCGTGTTCTTATCGGAATCCCCAAATACCCTATGTCTAAATCCCTAAAAGGTCGGCAACGCACTCGTACGTCAGCCGGCCTTGCGGGGTAAGCGCAATGAGGCACCGCGACCTTGGCCAAGAGCAGGAGAAGGGACAGGGCGGTTTTTAGTCAGAAAGAGTCTGACACTCCCTCCCGCCCAGAAGTTACTTGATGATTTTCCCATCACAAAAAAAACGCACTCGTACCTCCTTTACTTAGTATCAGGTTTTCAGTCTGATAGTGTAGCAATCAACAAAAAAAAAAACTGAATAATGTTATACGAGGAACACCTTTTAAAACATTTTCTAAACCTCCCTCGTTTCCAAACATCCTGTAGGTACGAGTATATAAATGAGGTTAATGGTGAATACGTGGTACGATTCATATTTTTTCTTAATTTCTGGATATAATAAACATGTTTTATTGTAAAGTTATTCTGCATTATTAATTGTACCTGACATTACAAGTGGTTTTTTTGGGAACAAGTTTACAATTTTATGTATATAAAAAAAATCACATGAGCACCTACTTTCGCAGACAAACAAAATGACATATTGTCATTGGGTATATTGTACAATTTTAAAAGCAAATTTACCCAAATGTTTTAGTTTGGCATATTATTTTTAAATTTTGAATTTGTGTTATCATTGACAAATTATTATAAATTAAGCCATTTTGTTAATATTCAGCTTACACTATTCATGCTCCTTACTTTCTAATATTTTAAACCGAAAAGTCTGAATATCAAAGATACCTATTAAGATTTTAATATGACTGATGCTACCGGTAGGTTATATGTATATTCTCGACTTTAGTCTATACTAATATTATAAAGAGCGTAAGTTTGTATGTTTGTAGGTTTGCATGTAGGGGGTAATCTTTGGAACCCCTGGTCGGATTGCCAAAATTCTTTGACTGATAGATAGCTACAATATTCCTGAGTGCTGTAGGCTATAAAACATCACGCTGCGATGAAATGGAGCCGAGCAGCGGGTGAAACCGTGTGAAAGTAGCTAGTAGGCAAAATAACGAAATTGAAACAGAATAGAATTTGTGATTTCCACTTTTTTAATGGAATAGGACGGCAAAACATTCGTGTGATAACCTGATCACTTGACTCAGGCCGCCCACGAACATCTGCTGCATCAGTCGCAATTGCGTTGCTGATCTTTTGAGCTTAGGCATTTCAGTTTGGTATTACACCTTGTTGTCTTGTCCGAGTTTATTGTGTGTGCGTATGTTTAACTCTTAGATAATGAAAAAAATATGAGTGCACCTGCACTTGAAAAACCATTATTTGGATATAAATAAAAATAAATTAAGAACCTGTTTTAGTGTCATTAAAACTTCTTAAGTAAACATTATTATGCCAATATGTTTTAACTTCATATTCAATTTTTATTGCAAAAACTTTGGAATTCTCAGGTTCCATATGTTTTTTTTTTTTGTCAGGGGAAAATCATCAAATGACTTCTCACGCCCAGGGTAATGAAACAATGAAGCAATGAATTTATTTTTGCAAATAGGCCTTAAAACGGCACTTTAACACGTCAAATTATATGTGAAAAACTAGATGAAGCCGGCATTTCCTATCTGACTACTCTGAGAAGAAATGCCGAAACAAACTCAGAGGTCAGTTTCTTTTCAAGTCCAGACAATATAAAATAACATAATGTGAGAGAACCGTGCAAGTTCATTCTGTGGTGGTCTTTTGAGGAAAGAACCACACCAGTTTAAGTGGACCCGTTCTGAAGACAGGCACGCAAGTGTCAGTTTGCAACCATATAGCTAGTGCTGTTGAGTTGTCCGACGAACAATACCGATCAAAAGAACATTTGGGTGGGTCGCGCAAGTACTCAAACTGTCAGAACGCAGATGACTGGTGATAAAAAGCACGACAAGTCTCACACGGTCCTTACACTAACAATAATATAAAATAATAAAAATGTCAACAAATAAATAAAAAAAAAATGTCAAATAAAAAATAAAAATGTCACAATAGGTGATCATGTCATTGTATAAAAAAAAAATAAAAAAAAAATTATAGGTAAGGCGAGAGAGAGAGAGTGTCAGACTCTTACTGATTAAAAAAACTCCGTTCCTTCTCCTGCTTTGTGCCAAGGCCGTGGACCCTCATTGCGCTTGCCCCGCAACATGTCTATGTGTTGCGCTATTGATGCGGTGGTTGACCAAATGTCTGTCGTGCAACATGTCGCGGTTTCGTATCCCGCACGTGACAACTATTTGTGGGCACCACTTACTCTTGTTCCAGGTTTGAGTATGATGTGTGAAATGAAATTTTATCTTGTTAACGTACCACGATATGAGAGAACAATCGAGTGTAGGCCAAGTAAGAACGCAAAAAAAAATTCTACCTTTTTGTTGACCTCCTTATCCTTGTAATGTCAACGTTTGTAATGAATACATAATACATATTGAGTAAACATTTCAGGTCGGCCAGATTGTCATGTAGGCTTGATCTATTGTCATTCAGAAGTTAAGAAAGAATGTTTGTATAATTATAAAATGCTTTATTTACTTATTGTTATTATTACACACGGTAGTAAACACTGACATCATAGTTTCTTTTAGATAAACTAATAACTTGTTCTTTAGCGTTTCTGTCCGTCCGGCCTTCTGAGCTTTTTGAGCTTATAATTCTCATCAGCCAGGAGATGTCAGCAGCTGAGCAAAGAACTTGCCCCAGAGGGAGTATTATTAAAATAACTGTTGGCCGTTTCTCTGCTTCAAGTCAATCCATATTGTTTCTGAAATAGTCAAATGATTTGATTAACTGTATACTTGTACAAATTTTACTTGCAAAAATTACCAATCCATTCCATGGTTTTTTTATAGGATGTCAAATGAGTTGACTGATTTCTGATGGTTTGCAATCAACCGAACCAAAGAAAGGAGTTACAATTCTGTGGGAGTAATTAGGGATTTGATAATTTGGGAACCCTTTTAGATTTTCATGTCTGTCTATGTGTCCACCAACAGTGTAAAACTACATTGTACAAACAAGGAAGGGAGATGTATGTATTCTGTCAGCAATATTAAGTTTTTCACCCAACAGAAGAAAATAAACAATAATTTCAGGATACTTACAAGTGAAGCAAAAATTTATTTATTATCTACTGCTACGGAACGCTTCATGGGTGAGTCTGATAAAATGAATAAATTAAATAAAAATTTCGAAGAAACCCAACGAACAGTCCTTTGGGTTTCTTCGATTTTTTTTCGATTTGAATTAATAATTTAAAAATGGCAATTTCTTGTATTGTTTCATGCCACATAATTTACATAATTTATCGAAACCAGTATTTTTGGTTTCTAGATTGCTAGATTCAAGTCTAGCAAAGGTCGACGTCCTTGTTAATTAATGTCCACCTTCTCTTCATCAAGTTTACGTCATGATAAATTTTATTTAATATGAAATTGTAATAATAAATTCTAACCTACCTCAGCGCTTCGGAGAAAATGTCTTGGTATAGATTTAATAATATTAAGACGATGACGTTGAGTACGGGTCGTGGTGGCCCGGAGGTTAAGAAGCCCGCTTCTCAAGCATGGTGCGTGCGTGGTGATTAATGTTCTAACCTTCTCCGTATTAGAAGAAGCCCTTGCTCAGCAGTGGGCACTTATAGGCTGATGGTGATAATGACGGATCATATTGACCCGCATGTTGTACTTCAGCTTTCCAAGATAATTTGATATGTTTTAAAAAGAAACATGTACCTATAACATAAATTATAAAAAATAGTTATTAAATGCATACATTTACAATACTATATTTCGCAGAAGACAAAACACGAAAGTGACCGTAGATAAAAAAGAATACAAAACATAAAAATTGAAATGATTTTGCATTGAGTAATCTTTACATGTATCTCAATTTATGTAATGTGTAACCAATTAATCATTAATATTTTTTACAAAATTTTTGCATTAAATTAAAGGGACAGAAGTAAAATTTTAGCCTCTGGTAATGGTTTTACTACGGTTTTTTATAAGTCCGTGGTAGGTATCACTCCAATCCAATCGGCACAAATGAGTACAACAACTAACTACGTTGTCCCAACTAACACTTAAAAACAGTTAGGCTACTTTCAGAAAAATACGTTTTCGGGTCTGATACACCCGTTTGGTACATGGTTTCTTCCAATGACATTTACTGTGATGGCTAGTTAATACGCGAAAGGATATTGTTGAGTCTAACCTCTTACATCTGGTTTGTTGTCAGATTGCAAATCATTTAATATCCACCTCTGACAGAGCTTGGTCCCTTCATATAATGCTACAATTCTTGCTGGATAATGTATCAATTACATGTTCAATAAAACTCTCTAAAAATCAAGGTTTCAATCAACATAAAACACCAAAAAAGCGAATAAATGTAATCACGAATCTACTACCTACGCTATAAGTACAACAACATAACGCTAGCAAAGACTTTGGGTCATAATGATCCTTTTTTAAATTTCAAAGTCAAGCCAATTCCAACAAAACCACATTTTTGAGGAATGAAAATTTGTACATGACTTCTCTTGGTGGGGCGAGAGATATTACCCCGTTTCATCTCAAGAGTAGTATATCTGTGGTAATGTACACTTATCACTAAGTACACCATCATGCTCGTACCCGGCTAGCATACTGTTGCACCCAAAAATCACTTAAAGTCTGAGGTATAAAATATAATTATTACAGAAAAACAAAATAACATGTATAAAAATACAGACAATAAAAATAAAAAATTGAAATCTTACGTACGTCACCGTTCACCTCATGCAAAAACAGAATGTTTGGAAACGAACAAGGTTTTGAAAGCGTTTTATAACATGTCCCTTGAATAGCATTGATTTTTTGTTTTTCATAAACTTTTTTTTGTTGTTTGGCACATGAGTAGACTGATCACTTTTCCAACTGGTGGTACAAGTAACTAAACGGCCTATGAAAAATGTATATTCTATATTGGTGGGCAAAAATCATCAAATCACTTTTCTCGTCCCGCCTAAGACAAAAGGGAGGCCCTTACAAAAAACCACCCTTTTCTAATCCTGCTCCAGTTTTAGTAGGTGTATCTTATCATCAAAATCATCAGGTGGAAGATATCCACTGCTAGGCAAACGCATTCCCTTTAGTCCTCCACATCAAATGGTATCACATCTATTGCTTCCCTGCGACTCAGACGATGTCGCTCATCCAATTTAATCAGCCTAGAAACACGAATACGAGATACTAATACAAGAGTCAAACGTGAATTTTATTTTATGTCTATATAAAATAAAATTCACGTAGGAAATAAAATATATATTTTTTTCAAACTGCTTTAGGTCAATACGACCCAGCGTCATTGGTATCGGGTTAAATCTGTCCAAGTACGCTCCACATATACTTGAAATAATACCAGATTCGTTAATTAATTAGACTGGTTTGTTTAAGTTTATAATAAGTCTACTATGCCGATACGCACAGCAGTTTGGTTGCAGCCACCGCAGCGATGTCCGCCGTGTTATTTATTGTACTTATTTTTATCATTATTTTACTATCTGTGGCGCTATATCAAAAGACAACGAACGCAATATGTATGTCGAGAAAAAGACTGGACGGCAAAACGGTAATAGTGACTGGAGGAACAGCTGGAATGGGCCTACACATAGCTACAGACCTGGCCCATAGAGGAGCTAGAGTGATAGTCGCCTGTCCCTTCGAAGATGAAGGCACTAACGCGAGGAAACAGATAGTGAAAGAGACTGGCAACGAAAACGTGGTATACAAGTATCTCGATTTGGGATCTTTACAATCTGTGAGACAATTTGCGGCAGACATCTTAAGAACTGAAGACAGACTGGACGTTCTATTGAACAATGCTGGAGTCTTGATTCCTGGAGACTTCCTGACGTTGGATGATATGAACTATATAATGCAAGTAAACTATTACGGAACATTCCTATTGACATTACTGCTCATCCCTCTTTTGAAGAAAACTGGGAAACCTGAAGAAGCGAGCAGAATCATTACAACTGCTTCTGTGACACATCGTGTTGCAAAAATTGATATCGAAAATTTAAATAAAACAAATTATTGGAAAAGATATGAGATTTATTCAAATAGTAAGTTATGTATCGTCCTTTTTGCCCATGAACTATCGAAGCGGCTGAAGGGCTCCAACGTTGTGATTAACAACGTAGATCCCGGATTCGTTGGCACCAGGATATACGATTCTGCAAACAAAACGATTGGATCCTTTGTAACATCAGCATCGAAAATATTGTTCAAGACTCCGTGGGAAGGTGCACAAACAGCTTTGCACGCTGCGTTGGACAACAGCGCTGGAGAAGTGAGTGGAGCCTACTTCATGAACTGTAAAATAGCTCAAGCTGCGAAACACGCGTGTTGTGGGAAAACTGCAAAAATATTATGGGAAGAATCGGTCAGATTGGTGAAGTTAAGGGATGATGAATTAGAACTGTGTTTTAAGTGATTAATTTTGTTAGGCCTCGTTGGTTGAGGAGTCGGAAGTGAGAGAGGTTGGATTAGTGAAACGGGAAAAGTACTGAAATATTGTTGTTTTCGATAAAGAAACTCATTTGGGAGTTAGCAACTGTGCCAAATGAGTTCCTTTTTGTGCCCGGAATATGGCTCACCATCCAGCATATTGATATATGGAACCCACGGTTATATAATGGTGAAAAGTGAATGTTTGCCTTAGTGGAAAAATGTGTGACGAGTAATGAAATATAAATTTTTATCCATCTAACAATGAAAATTGTTAGATGGATTCGATTTAGATAGGTATGATAAAAAGAATTCTGTATCTACGAAAACTTTGATAAAACTTGAATGAACTATTTATTTGCTAAATCACATAAACGAAGATGCAATCATACCAATTAAAAAAACAAGAGAATAAAACTAATAATGATCATAAAAATAAAAAAATAAATAAATAAAATAATAAAAAGAAGGGCAACAAGTTAGCAAAAACATATAACATACATAGGTATACATATACCCTCACAATGTATGTATAAGTAATGTGATGTGTACATAGAATAAACTTGTAATATAATAAAATTTCTTTGGCTATAAGTACTTCATATTTGAATCTGGCTGGTTTTGGTGTCATTGAAAGTTTAAAATTTAATGAACACTAGCTTCTGCCAGCGCCTTCGTCCGCGTGGAAAAGTGATTAATGGCAGATTTTTGGTTTTCCCACATATTTCCCGATCTCGTAGGATTTTCGAGAAGTTCTCCTTTTGAAATCCCGGAATAAAAACTATCCCATGTCCTTTCCCGAGTTTCAAACTACGGCTGTAGGTACTAAATTGTATCATTTGAATACTCTTTGGACAAAAATTTTACAGAATACAATTTTAGCATCAGTATCGATAACTTATTACCCCCTGATAGTTATTTTGAAAATATATTTCATGTACAGAATTGACCTCTCTACAGATTTATTATAAGTGATATAGATGATTATTACGAATTAAATTTACAAGAACATGTATGTTTTCACTTTTTGACAATAAAATTGCAAATGTGGAGAAACTGGCAAGAAAAAATAGATTATTTGTGTGAAGTGTTGAAAGACAAACACATTTCAGTTTATCATTATTTGGGTACTTTTTCCGAAATATCAAAATCTAAACGTAATGTGTAATGTTGTATGAAATAGCGCGTATTGCTTCATATTTTTTTCCTTGCCCTATTGATGCGTGATTACACTTGCTGGGCTCAAGCAAGCAGGCAGCAAGCAGGTTAGAGTCTTTGATTTGAGCACCCCCCCAGTTTTTTCATGGGATTGGCTGGCACACGAGCAGATTGAACACCAAGTGGTAAGCAACTCGCGTCTCCAATGGACACCAGTTAGAGGAAAAGCAGTTACAAGTGCAAGGCTGGCCTTTTAAGGGTTGTTAAAGATTTGAGGAACTGGGATTGGGGATGAAGCCGTGATCCCGTGGGCCTATCGGTAGCCTTACGCCGGAAATATGTGATGCCGTGATATTATTCTAGTCGCGCCAGTCCATTGCCAACCGTCCACGTAGACGGGAGTCAGTCACTTTGTTCAGGAAAAATAAATAAAGGCAGAGTACTGTAGGTACATTATAACTGAAATGAACGAGATTGTAAATTTTTTACCTGTTATGCTTCCGCTATATTATTTTTAGAAATAATTGGTAAGTAAGTATTAAGCTTAATATTATGACGAATAATGAACCACTCACCAATTAAAAACTTGAGAACTTTACTGCTATTATGAAGTTTATTAAACAAAAACGAGAAAGTTGATTTTCCCACTTGATATGGTTGAATTCGAAGCTTTGTGTTTGCAGTTGACCTTGCAATTTGTCACATCATCATCCTTTAAGTGCCTTCTGCTGACTGAAATCCACTTCTCATACGAAAAATAATTGAGCATTAAACACCACGCTTGCTCAAAGTGGATTGACGATTTACTTGTGTATTTAGATAACATATAATTGACAATTATAAGTCTTAGGATTCCTCACGATGTTTTTCTATCGTCAGTGGTGTCAAAATGCGCGGCCTCAGCCTAGAGCAGGAGAAGGAATGGGGGGTTTTAGTCAGTAAGAGTCCGACACTCTCTCCTGCCCCATACTGGGCGGAAGAAGTCAAATATTGATGATTTTCACCTCATAAAAAAATGTGATTAGTAAGTGCAGTATTGATGATCAATTGAGGGGTACATAAGTACTGGTTTTCCGTTATTAGTTTAACATCTACATGACTTACTAACTAATTGAGAGGTAGGTAATTATTTCATTTTATGAGACATGGAACTAACAACGTTATAAATTACCGGATGGTAGATGATCAGATTTAAAACTCCAGTATATTTTGTTCCAAGTGTTTTGTACACGTGTATTCTTTCATGTGTGTCTATTTTTTGTTCTTTTTATTAAAATCTACTTTTTTCAAAAGATAAATGTTCTTGTTGGTATACCTACTTCACTTAATTGGCTATTTGACTCTTATAACAATAATTTAAAGCTTAAAGATAAATAAAACATTTTTGCACTATTTAGTACGTGAATCAATAACAAAAAAAAGTTTAATTTTAATTCTTGATTAGATGAATTCGATAGATACCTACGTCACGTCGAATGTGACGTCATAATTCGCATATCAACAGTACCAGTTGCCATGGTTACGGTTCCATCCTATATACTGATTACATTATAATATATGCTTAGCGGTTGGGAGAAATAGTACCGTAACATTATTTTGTAGACGCCAGTTCAACCTAGCTTTGTTAGCGCGAAATCATGTTTTATTAAAAAAACAGTTTTAGTGGTGGATAATAAGTCATATTTTAGAAAACTTTCAAGTAGCCAAATCTTTCTTAATGTCTATTTTCTATTCTTGGCCATCAGTTTAGTCACAATTAAAAAAATATATAAAAAAAAATCATCAACATAAAAGTAATCAACTATTTTGTGCGAAAATATAATTGCATCAAGGCACATCGCTACCGTTTGCTTGGTCACGACGGCAGGCGCACGACGCTTTATAATTTGGCGAATATCTGACCAGAGATAAATATCACCTCTCAGCAGTCATCGCACACAATGTTATCAGTGAAAAAAAAATCACATGATAAGTCATATCATTAAATAATAGTAAAACTTATTCCATTTGGAAATTGAAGTTGTTAAAACTGTTACGAAGATGGTTTAATAAACTAAAACAATCAAATATTTAAAACTATTCGATAACTAGTTTTGTATATAAAAGACAATACTTTATAACAGCTACTTAAAAGTAAAGATAAACAAAATACCTAAATAATAATGCTTATGTACGTCTCTTGCTAATAAAAAGTACGAGAGCTCTGTAAAATACTTATCCTATTTACTATGTGCCTTAGTAAAAACTCTAACAAGTCACGTTGTTACTTCTTAGTTTGCAGGATATTTTCTACCGACCTCTAATGGATTCAAAATGTTTTGGATTCAGTACAGTAATATTTTTTCATTTACATAACTTTCCCAGTGCTTACTGTGTTACCCCGTTGATTTGGACTTGGGACTACTAACATGAATATTAATTTTGATTTTGATTTTGTATATTTTACATATGACATGACCCGGGTACGTCCTTTGACCCGGGTACGTCCTAAATTGACCCGGGTACGTCCTAAAACTGCGACCAGACACCGAGGAATGGGGAGCAGCATTCTTTAAAAATTATCGGTGACCTAACTGCGCTCGCCAACCCGCCTGCCAAGCGTGGTGAGTATTGGCAAATCCCCCCATATGAACTGCTCAGATAAAACCAGGCCCCCAGTCTCCGGCAGTCCCGCCGTTCCTGGCTACCGTGGTAGCGGTCAGGGTAACGGCGGGACACGGGGTGCTAAGAATCCCCGGAGGTGGAGAAAAGGCTACCACCCCCGACGACGACTGGCCTTGGTAACACACAATGTTCGCACTTTGAGGACAGACGAGAAGATTATTGAGCTGGAAGAGGCATTGGGTAGGTTGCACTGGAGTATTGTGGGGTTGTCAGAAGTCCGACGAGAGGGCGAGGACACGATAACCCTAAGATCCGGCAACCTATTCTACTACCGGGAGGGCGAACAACTGTCCCAAGGTGGTGTCGGGTTCCTCGTCCACAGGTCCCTCGTCAACAACATTCTTACCATCGAAAGTGTGTCGAGCAGGGTGGCGTACCTGATACTCAGGGTATCCAATAGATACTCGTTGAAGGTTATCCAGGTTTATGCACCGACCTCGACACACCCAGACGAGGAAGTAGAGGTTATGTATGAGGACATAAGTAGGGCCATACATACTAATAAAACCTACTTCAATGTTGTTATGGGGGACTTCAACGCGAAACTGGGAACTCGAGGCGATAACGAGCTGAGAGTGGGGCAATTCGGGTATGGGCAACGGAACCACAGGGGACAGAGACTGGCTGAGTTCCTGGAGAAGGAGGACCTCTTTGCGATGAACTCCTTTTTCCAGAAGCCGTCTCACAGGAAATGGACCTGGATGAGCCCGGACGGTTCCACAAAAAATGAGATCGACTTCATCATGACAACAAAGCGACAGATGTTTAATGATGTCTCTGTGATCCATAAAGTAAAAACCGGCAGCGATCACCGACTGGTCAGAGGCACATTGAATATCAATATAAAGCTGGAAAGATCCCGTCTGATGAAGTCTACGCTCCGACCTTCAAATGCACATATCGGTTGTCCCGAGAGCTTTCAGATCGAGCTATCGAATCGTTTTGAGTCCCTGGAGAATTGCGAGTCAGTGGACGAGATTAGCAACAGGTTTGTAGAAACTGTCCATGCGGTCGGGTCGAAGTTTTTTAGACCCCGCCGAAAAGACAGACCGCAGAAGCTTACCGATCGCACCCTCAAACTCATGGCAGAACGACGTGCTATGGTACTCCAGACCTCTGCCGATGCTAAAGCACATCGGCAGCTCAATAGACTAATATGGAAGT